TGACATTTACAAATTACATGTCGTTGGTAATTGTAGTGTTTGATTTATGTAATGATGCTCACGTAGGAGAGTCGAGCATTGGATGAATGAGCGAGCAAACACTCGTCGTCGCTTTTAAAAACAACGCTTGACTTGTATTAAAAATGATGATGGACTATTTTATTTTTTATTATTATCAAATGAAAAATACTTTTTTTGAAATGATTAGTGTAAGATAATAAGATTATAATAACAGAGTAGATGCCTAAATTGGTAGATTATTTTAAATCATTACACACGTATTTTTTATTTTCTTACAGAAATTAATACTATCGACGATATATTGATTTGAAATGTCGCGTGACGTCACTTCTATGAACATTTTATACGTAGAAATGACGTTTTAGCCCCCCCACTCCTAAACTTTGATTTATCTTAGTATTATTTTATTATACAACTAAATAAAAAAATACGTGTCTAATATTTTTTCATTACCTAACTTACGGACTAATTAGATTTTTAATTTTCATACCCCGTCATCTTCCCAATTATAGGTAACAACATCAAGTACTTTGTGTAGTGATATTAGTGGTTTTTTTAAGCGTGGAAAATCATTGAATGTCTTGTCCCGCCTGGGTGAGGCGGCAGGGAGTGCCCTATGTCAGTCTCTTACTGACTACACACCACCCCGTTCCTACTCCTGCACTTCGACCCGGAGCCCCGGCAACCCGTTAAGTTCTCCGCGTCTCGATTGATTCCATTAAGTTCCTGGTTACAGTATAGCAATATTACATTAACTAATCCCTGGTCATTAGTTTTTTCATTTATAAAGTTTTGCCTCCCCGTTGCTAGTTTGAGGTTTGGCTTGTGAATAGAGAGTCGGGTTTCATTAATTAACGTAACTTAGTTATTCCTCGACGGACGTCAAGCCAATTTAGGTATAAGCGTGAGAGATAAGTTTCATTTATAAATGTCATACCTTTTAGTAAAATGAACATAATAATTTAAAATACTTTTCTGAATCCTCGTAGGGATACACTGAATTAGTTTTATTTACTGCCTCGTTGGCCGAGTGGTCTCAAGTGCGACTGCCGGGTAAGGGGTCTCGGGTTCGATTCCCGGGTCGGGCAAAGTATTACTGGGTATTTTAAAAATTCTCAGTAGTAGCACGGAGTCTGGAACATGGGACTCATAATATAAATAGTGAAAAGTGGGTGTTTCATTGTACAGTTGCATAATGTGCACCACTGCCTACCCCTTCGAGGATAAAACCCCTAATAAAAGGCGTGATGTTATGTTATGTTATGTTTTTACTCGGAGCGAGCCGATTGCCGCTCACCAGACAATTTGAAAACACTTAGACTTTAAAACCAAAAATCATTTACTGTTTTTGAAGAAGGTTTAAAAAAATGTACGCGTTTGGAAAATTCATTTATATTTTTGAGGCTGATAAAATTTAAATCGAAATTCGATTTGGAGTTCGTCACGGCAATTAGTTTTATTGACAGACCTTTTATACAGATTTCAGTGAATTTATTTTTTCTATTTGAACTAGTGGACGGGCTTTAAACGTCAAACCTGGCTGATGGTCTTTTAAATGCAATTAGGTTTGTTATACTTTCGAATTTATAGTAACATAAGGCTTTAATTGCTTCGTGTAAGAATGTTATAACCTGTAAGAAAAAAGGATCCAGAAGAAAAATACATGTCGTAACACTCATATTTATGAATAGAACTATAGAATGCCTTTTACTGCATCTCACATACTTATTTAGCTATCGCCGCATTCATCTTCAAGTCTTCAGTTAACAGTACTTCGTTCCCGGATTTCTTTTGACGCATTTACAATTATTTTTCACTAAGGTATAGCTACATACATTGAAAAGACCAGCATTTATTAACCTTACATCTATTAAGAATGAGCTGACAATAACATATTTCATCATATATCATCGTATCTTTCCATACCTCGATAAATATGAAAATATAAGCGTATATTGGAGGTTTTTATATCTTATTTTGCTCATGTATTTTGATATATGGCCCCTGGGAGGGTAATTTGTGCAGTGATGCGAATCAGTTTGTAAAATCGGGTGTAAGAGAAATTTTAAGGTAGTTACTCTTACGTAGTCTGCTGATTTTGTCCGCTTATTTGGTCTTCTGATTGTAAGCGTGACTAATGAGTACGAGTTTTGGTTAGTGATGTATTAAGCATAAAACATAATCTAACTTCACGCCTTTTATCCCTGAAGGCAGAGGTGCACTGTAGAGGTATAATGCAACACCCATTTATCACAATTATGTCAAGTATCCCATGTAATAGGGGGTGAACTTATTGCTATATACCTATTAAGAATTTTGAAAAACCCAGTAATACTTGGCACGACCCGGGAATCAAACCCAAGACCCTTTGCCCAGCGACTGCTGATATTATATTTAAAATTAGGCGTAAAACCTGATAGTATGAAAAGAGGAATTTGACAGTTAATTAGTTACGCAGTCAATAGATCATTAGATAGACGATGATACAGAAGTTTGTTTACGAATGTAGAGGTATATCTCGCACATAAAGCCTTTGATGTCACAGTTTATGTCGCACCAGTTTATCTAAAATAGCTACATTGTGAGTGCTTATAAACCGGACGCTTTGCTCGCAACTTTGTCTGCATTGGAAATTAAATGTTGCTCAACTTGCTGATAATCCTGTCCACCATAGATTCAATTAAATTTTAAATTTAAACCTTTACAAAGTCGCGGAGAACCTAACGGGTTACCGGGGCTCCGGTTCGACGTGCAGGAGAAGAAACGGGGTGGTTTTTAGTCAGTAAGAGTGTGACACTCCCTTTCGCCTCACCCAGGCGGGAGCAGTCATTCGATGATTTAAAAAAAAACTTTTACAAAAATTCAACACTTTTTCCTCTATAAACTCAAATTAATGTTGCTTTAACAGATTTAACTTACGTACGTGAATTTTAAGGATACCTCATTAAAACCTCTTTGTTAATTTTACACATTCAAACTCTATTTCACACTCATTCAACTAAACGAAGCATCCCACACAGTTTTATCAAAGTGTCTGTTACTCAACTTGGGAATTATTTTAAGTGTCGTGGTATGGCATAATTTGCGTGCTCAAATTTCAAGTTAGTGATGTAATAGTAACTTGGGAATAAGTTTTATCATGTTAGGAATAAGTTCGTGTAGGAACTTATGTCGATGAGAAGTTCTTGCTTTGTCATTCATTAATCATGAGGCAAGTATTTGGGGGACAGAATTTCTATCAGGAAAATTACTTTGGAAATGTGGTGGTATCACTACATAGTATAAAACAAAGTCACTATCCGCCGTCTGTCTGTCCCTATGTATGCTTAGATCTTTAAAATTACGCAACGGATTTTGATGCGGCTTTTTTATTGATAGAGTGATTCTTAAGGAAGGTTTATATGAATAATACATGAGTATTGCACCCGTGCGAAGCTGGGGCGGGTCGCTAGTGTAGAATATGGTAGGAATGGGAAATGAAGCTTGTAATTTAAATAAATACTTCTGGATCCTGCTTCATATTAGCAATTGAATAAATAATTTATTTACCAATTATTGCAAGGGGTCTCGCGGCGATTCACGGACAAAGTATTACTGGGTATTTAGAAAAATAATTGTCAGTAGTAGCACGATACCTGGAATTGTGACCGGTATATGGCAATAGGCTCACCTCCTATTACATGGGACTCATAATATAAATAGTGAAAGTCGGTGTTACATTGTACAGTGGCATTAATTGTCGTAATATGCACCTCTGCCTACCCTTTCGATATAAATGTGTGATAAAAAGTGTGATGTTATGTTATATTACCAATTATATTTCACTTCTGCCGTATATCATACATAATTCGTTACTGGAAAAAAATCAAAATATAATATACAACCGACATTAAACTAAGATGAAAACTACTGACATTTTTTAAACAGTAGATATGAAGTGTGAGAGAACCAGCATAGTAGCAAACATTCACCATTTAACATACTTTCCCAAGCTCAGCTAATTGTTCACACCTTTTTGAAGTTCCCTTTTATGTTAAAGAGCGTAGACGTAATATGAGCCATTTTAATTTTTGACGCGTTCTAGTAAAAGGTTTTTCTGTTTTAAAAAACAGAATGAACATATATTGTTTGATGTTTTTTCTTAAACAGTGTTCATTTATATGTAGGTACTTCTAATATTACTTCCTACATTATTATAGGTATACAAAATTCCAATACCCATCAAGTAATTCCATTATCTTCGAATACTTCGACATCAAGATGTCACAAACAATTTTATTCACGTTCGGAACTTCATTTCCCTTGCCGCTACGCCGTAGCATCGAAAATACTGGTGCTACGTGCGTAGCGTTTTCGTAGCAGTTTGGAAAGTAAGAGCTACGAAAGTTCTTATCGTAACGCAGTTTGGTGGACCGATGATATATTGAATATATTTTGTTATTGCATTATTGGATGGGAAAAGGGACCAAATGGGGTCATGATACATGTTTATGCAAAAATATAGTAAATTGGTGACTTTTTCGTACATTTTGTGGGACGTGTGGAATGGGCAACGTGAATGGAAGGAAATGTTTAATAGAAGTATATGATGATGCACATAAGAACTGTAGTACTGTAGGCAATAATCATCTTCTTGGATCGTGAACGTAAACTAAATGAAAAAAATATGTATAAAGAGTTACGTTGATTTTGCCAATCTATACATGACATAGCCAGAGCCAGTACATCTACAATATCAAAAATACTAAATCAATATTAATTTTATTTCTTTTAAGATCTAACACAAGACACTTTCATAAAAACTTTGAAATCAAAGACAGGATACAATAATGGATATAAAATAGTGTTGAAAACAGCAGAAAAAGTAACTGTAGTGATCAGTGTTTGAACTTCAACGGTTGTTCTCTTCGTAAGTGTTCGGCTATCATCGGGTGTGTTCGGAAAAGGCCGAAGCCATCCGATTGGAGTGGAGGTGTAAGATGGAAGATAATGCTGACAGGCAGTGTAAATATAGGTAAGTTTAAAAAATGTAATGTTTTTCTGTAATAAAGAATGTGTATTTTTATTATTTTATCATGGTTTTGAAGAAAAAAGGATGATAAAATTAGGTTTTTAATAGTGTTGATGATCAAGAGTATTGAGTTTGGGGTTCCAAAGTTTCCAGGTTAACTGGAATTGAACGTGGTAAGTAATAGACTATTATAATAAAACATACCTAGTGACATGTAAGTGAATCCTAAGAATATCTTTGTCTCAACCTTTCAGCAATGAAAAGCTTGATGTTTTGTAGACACAATGGAATGAAACTTCACTCTAATTAGGAAAGGGTTCAAGTTGCATTTTAATGATCTGCCTTGCAACATTCTCTTCAAAGTTTAGTGATAGACTCTAATTAGTCTTTGGAACTGCAGTGCAAGAATTTGATGCCTTCATCCAACAAGAGAGCTTCAATATTAAAAACTAAAAGTCTTACACTCACAACTTCAAACGAGTACTTTACTCCATAACAATTAACTATAAAAAGTAGTGTACTGTACACCTAGATTTAAATAAAGTTTAAAATTATTTAAATGTCACATAACTTGTAGCTAAATTATGAGCTATGAGAGATACTCATCGATATTTGATGATCGATATTACGATTTCCTACCTGCATAAGTATAGAGAATAATTTTGTACTAAACATAACAGCCAACACTTAGTAGAATATAATTTGAGAATCAAGCAAAAGACTGTGCATAGCAGCAGTCTCTGTAACGACCACTTGATTGATGAGACAGTTACTTTAAGCGTCAAAATTAAATTACAATACAGGGTGTAAACGCAACGCTACCGAAAAACGCCGACAGGTTAGGCCGGTTGGCGCGATGGTTGGGCAGCTGACTGCCCCGCAACGTGTCGCGGGTTTGATTCCCGCACGGAACAACTCTTTGTGTGATCCACAGATTGTTGTTCTGGGTCGGGATGTCATGTGTAACTTGTGTATTGTGAACGCACCCACGACACGAGAAAATCCTAGTGTGGAGCAAAGATTTTTTTTTCATAAAAGTAAGGAATTAAATGTTTCTTTTATGTAATAGTTGTAATCAACTGCTCAAAGCTGATGTTGCATAAATAACATGAAAATAAAAACGACTAAAATTGTCAATACATTTTTTTATTGTCAGCGTTTCGGGAGCGTTTACTTTTACACCCTGTATATTTCGAAGTGAAAGTTCAACTTATACAGTTTACCTACTTTCATAAAATAACTTGATAACTGTTTTACACTAACCGCAATGCAGGTTAAGTAACAACTATACTGAATTCATGAAGTTTTAAACAGCAGTTACCTTGTGCCCAATAACTGGCCGTTAACTATTACGTTAACTTGATATTTAATATTTACCTCGACGCTTTGTAAGTTTGTTTAATAGTTTGTATGATACTTAACATCAAGTATTATTTAACACTTGTGTAAACAAAGGAGGTGACGATGTAAAAAAAAATAACAGCTCATAAACTAGTTTTACTTATTAATACGTTTATATATCGTACCGAAAATTTGTTCATATAAAAATTGTCTCCACACATTGGAAATAGGGTTTATAATGGAGTTATTGGAGAACAGTCATCGGTGACCGCTTGGGAATTTAAGCATATCGTGCATGTATTCTATTCACGAAACTAGCACATTTTTTGGGCTTGTCCAAAATATGTCGTTGTGTTTTTTTCATGACAAAAAATCAAAGAAGTACCTACAAAGTCTAATATCCGAAATTTAAAAGATCACGAAACTTGGTTTTTCGAAAAAAATTGGACAACCTTCTTTAGTAATGACGAGATTATAATAAAATATAGCTACTAAAATTTTATATTCAACTTAATAGAAGCAGGCTGACCGCTATCAAACACAGACCTTTAGCTATTTCTGAGAAACTCAATAACACTTTACTGGAGCTGAAATTGAACACTTCATTTGATTACGTGTCGAAACTGCGTTTTGTGGTACAAATTGGTTTTCAGTTAGCCGCGGTTTTGCCTGAAAATGACCTCAACTGTATTATTGACATTCAAATTAATTATTAGACAAACTTTTTAGCAGAGTTCTGCTAAATAAGTTGTATAACTTATAAGTTAATAAGTTGTATAAATGCAAAATGGAGTATAAATACATTTTTTTTCATTTCACCAGTTATAATTAGAATGACAAAAATCAAAATTAAAATAGTGTGTTTAGCGAATATATTAAAATGTATACATTTTCTTATTGAAGTAAAATCTACATGAAAGGCTTGTTACAACACAAATTTTTTGATGCACAGATCCAGATATTGAACCGAGGATCTCCTTTGACATCGTAATTTCAACCTCTAAACAAAAGAAGGTCACAAGTTAAATTAAAATAAAGAATATAAATATTAAATGAAAACTCCAAGTTCTAGTAAATGATGAAAGTTGTTTGTAAACGAATATCAAGTTACACCTACGTACAATTTTCATTTGATTACACAATTTTTGTGGGTTGAAGAGTTTAGGAGTGTTATCTTTAATTTATCAACAAAAACAAATGAAGTTACGATAGAAATTCTTAGTTGTTTAAAATACACCTTATTTTACAAATTCCAGTGGCATCAATGGAAGTGTTTTAGTGAGTAGTAAGTAGAGAATATTTTATGTGAGTCGTTTTTGAACCACATAGAGATAAAGTTCGTTTTATTTGTTCAACATCAGTATTACATATAGAATGCATTAAGGATTATTAGTACAGTCATTCATAGCCGTCACAAATTACAACAACAACATAACATGACGCCTTTTATCCTCGAAGGTGTAGGCAGAGGTGCATATTATGGCACTTAATGCCACTGTACAAAGTAACACTCATTTTTCACTATTTATGTTGTGAGTACCGTGTAATAGGGGGTGAGCCTATTGACATATAAAGGGCACAATTCCAGACTCCATGCCACTACTATATAAAAACCCATTAATACTTTGCCCGACCCGGGAATCGAATCCGAGACCCCTTGCCACTGTCCAGTCCAGCCCACTCGCACTTGTCCAACGAGGCAGTCAAAAAATTAATTGCCTCTTACTTAATAAGCTTAAGACAAAATAATAATAACATAAGCAAATAATTGGGATTGCCGATTCGAAATTCTTAGGAATATTTATGGAGTTTTGGGAATAGAGCTCAATGTGAGATAATAGTTAGAACTACAGCATAATTACACTTAAATGGTAAAAAATACAGTTCGGTGAATAACAAGAATAGCTAAATGATATAATGAACCCTTTCAAATTCTCTGTAAAAGATAGTGTAATCCTTTACAATATCTACTTTTTTGCCAACCCATTCACCCAATACATTTAACAAGGCTCTCAAGAAATATACATAGAACCTTTCTTATCGCTTTCAGTTGCTTGAATAACTTCCTTTTTAAGACTCCTTTGTGAGCCTAGAGCCTCTCTTCGACTTTACATAAGCTATATATCCGCTACCCAGACAAAACGTTAAGCTGTCGGTACAAATACCATGTATTACATATTACTTCAAAGTGCTACGGCTACGAGCTACGGCGTGGCAGCGCTACGACAAAGGCTACGAAATAATATATCTTCTATTTATTATTTTGTTTGTGAGATGAAATGCGACATAGTTATGTCTTGAATAAAATGAATATGTACAATACAATTTGTTGTATGTAGCAAAGTGATGTCTATGAATTTCATGAATACGTTCACCAAGTTCTTTGTGTAGAGTTTAGAGGTGGGTTTATAGATAGATTGTTGGTGTATGTCTTATATCTTATTATATGTAACTTACATTATACACTGTCCCTGTTAGACTAATAGGACAGTAATCATATACTTACAGTAAAATTCCGGTCAATTTTTTACTAGTAAATCACACAAAAGACTACCTTGACAAGAAACCGGAACTACAAATAAAACTCAGACAGAACCAATTTACTTTTATTGAAAAAGTTCGACCATTTCCTTCAAAATGTCTGTCTACCTGTTGGTTAATGACACCTCGTAACTTTCTGTATTCATTTGATGGCTCCCCTTAATAGACCATTATTTTCATCGCACAATTTTGGTAAATACTAACCTGCAGCTGTAGCCAAATGCCATTTAGCGCTTGTCTACATGTAGAATAGAAAAACAAATTATATGGAATTGACGTAAATTTTGACACTTGTCAGTGCCATCCCCATACATTTAGTTTTCTACTCTCTCTGTAGACAAGCGCTAAAGTGGCGTTTGGCTAAAGTCCCTGATTACCTACAGTGTTGCCTAACTATAAATAATAATCTATAAAGAAATCTTAATTGGTGCTAAATAACATTATTTCAGCATCCTGTAGGAAATTGGTATATTGAAAAAACTGACTAGAAAACACATTTTTCAGTCTGTTCATTTTGGTAGGGTATTGGATTGGGCCGTTATATTTGCCCATCTGCATAGCAAGCCCTCTGTGTTCAATTCATTAGTAAAAACACGGAGAATCTTTTCTTACCTGTATTCACCGTATTACTTCCGTAAAATTTTATGGTGCGCGTAAGACATTGATACATTTTACCACCTCATCCTCCGCGAGTATAAAAGAGCCAATCTTTGCAGATACGATTACCACGCCCCAAACAAATATTCTAAAACATTTCAACTGAAACTCCCTTCATCCGAAACCAATCTATCTTCTTCATACAACCTTTTGTTCAGCTAAAAACTCATTTTGCTTTCAATACCATAAAAGATATTAAAGCTACGTATGGGAAAATACGAAGCTTTTGGAAGTAGTCACTGGCGCTGCGATCGCTTTTTGGAAGCTGTGAAATGTATGTTTAGATACTAAATTTGTATAAAAATCATAGTTTGTTTTTTTGCTGGGGGAAATTGCTTACGGATTATAGTTAAACACATCACACATAACGTTACGCGTTTTTATCCTCGAAGGGATAGGCAGAGGTGCACATTATGCCACTGTACAATGTACCACCCTCTTTTCACTATTTATGTTATGAGTCC